TGCAGCCCTGTCCCCACACAGCTCAGGTCCTGGCTCTGCCCCAGCCCCCCAGCACTGCTGTCCCCAGCCAGGACTGGGGACCCTCCCTGTCCCCCCAGGAGCACCTGGGCAGAGCTCAGCCCCCCTCGTGTTTTGGGGGGCAGGAGCAGCACAGAGGGAATGTGACAAGAGCTCCAAGGCCGGGTGAATTTTCCAGCTCTCAGATACAAGGAAGAATCATAACGTCGTTTATCATCTTTAAAGATACGCAGAGTTGGCGAGAGAATGAATTCTTCTTCATAACCCAGTTCCCAGGATATTTTTACTGTGCATCATAAATTATAATACCTTTTTATTTTTGCTTTATGGCCTGTCCCCCGCCAATTCTGGTGATCTACATCCTCATCCCCCCCAGTGCTTTAGGAACAATCCCTGCCTGTCTCTCTCCTCCTCCCATCAGCTCCCCAATCTCTCTCCTTCCATCAGCATCTCTTTTACCCTTGTCCACCCACAGAGCCAGGGCTGGGGGAGTCACCAGGAGTGGGCAGTGACCCCTCTGAGCTGCTGCAGAGCCTCGGGCAGGTGTAGCCATGGCCACAGCTCTGACCCACAGCCCTGGCAGCAGCAGGGAGGCCACCTGCAGCTCCTGGCAGTGCTGAACCAGCCCAGCAGCTCTCTCAAACCTCCCTGAGTGGCTGAGACAGCCCTGAACAGCCCCTGCCCCTCACACCTGGGCACAGCGCAGCTACAGGTGTTCCTGAGATGGGGACAGCTCTGGTGCAGCCCTGTCTGGGGATGCTTTGGGGTCCTGGTTGGTTTCTCCACCAGCACAGCTCAGATGTGGGCTGGGGTGGGGATTTCAGCTCCCTTTACACCTGAAATTCCAAAGGGAGTAGCCTAGTGAAGGTGAGGTGACACTGAAGGATGCTGAGGCAGCTGCAGACATCCCAAAACCCAGGGATGACCCTCTGAGGAGATCCCACCTGCCCAGGGCAGCCCTTCACACCTCCACACAGGGTTTTTATCCCCACAGCAATGCCAGGAGCCCAGGGAGCTCCCACTGCATTCCCGTGGCGTGGGATCCTCCATTCCCAGGAGGACCAGCCCAGCTGGAAGGTGCTCAGGGCAGTTTCCACAGCCCCTTTTCTTTGCAAAACCTCCTCCCTTTAAGGAAAAACCTGTTTACAAATCTTGCTGTGTGGAGAACCCCAACATGAGAGAGGGGGGACGATGGCCAGGACTTCTTCCATGGCTTCACACCCCAGCCTGGGGGAAACCCAGCCCTAAAGCTGGATCCGGGGAGGAGAGGTGAGTGTTTATCCCTGTGAAATATGGAGATTTGCTGCGATGAGGCTGACTAAGAACATTACATTTGCCACGCTGAGCCGCAGAGCCTTGGGGCTTTGTGCAGGGCTCAGGCTCCCGTTAGGGAGGGAGAGGCTTTTGGCACGTTGGGATTTACAGGGAAACAGGCGTCTCTTGGGAAAGCACGGCTGATGGTGAGGCCAGCATCGTGTTCCCCGTGCTGTGCAGAGATTCAGGGCAGGGACTGCGTTCCCCAGGCCCAGATGGGATTTTTAGGGCTAACAGAAAATCCTAATCGCGGTCATTTCCCATTTTCCAGCGTTTTCGCAGCAGTCTGCACTGCCTGGATGTGGGATGGGTCTCTTGCACAGAGCCATAAATAAATAAACATTCTGTGCCCCCAGATCCAGCACGGGGGGTGGACAGGGAGGAGCAGGAGCCACTGGATGTGGTCACGCTCTGAGCTGCGCTCAGCTGGTCCCTCCCCACCTCATCTGGGGCTTCTGAGGGAAAAACCGGAGCAGGTGAAGAGGCAGGAAAATGATCACAAACAGCACAACCAGGGCTTGTTCCGTCCTGTCCTGCTGGAGCCAGAGCGATCGCTCGCGGGTTGTTCAAAGGCAGGGCCGTGTGTCACTGCGGGATGCTCGGCAGGGATGGAGGGATGGAGCCTCATTAACGAGCAGCTCCCGGGAGCATTCCCAGGAGCATTCCTGGGCCGTGTTGGAAGCTGGAGCACAGCAGGATTCAGGGAGAGTGTGGAAGCAGCAGCACGGGGGGATGGAGGGCTGGGAATGGAAATGGACCTTCTGCTCCACCAGCACCAGGTGCCCAGGCAGGGACGGACAAGGGGATGGGCTGGGAACAGCTCAGGGCAAAGGACTGAGCTAAATGACCTAAAACCTGGGAAAAGGAGGATGGAAGAGGCTTGGTGATGTCTGCCAGCAGGGTTTGGTGGGGTGAAGGGGACACCCAGCCTTGTTCAGCCCTGGTGCATCGACATCCGGGGCTGCTTCTGAGAGCAGCCAGGTCTGGGGTCCCAAACTGAAACAGGGCATAGGGAGGGGACAGAAGACAGCTCAGTGCAGAGCCCAGGGCATTTCTGAGCAGGTTGAGGCAGAGCAAGGCCGGTGGTGCCCAAGATGTGGGGACACATCGGCCCCGGGGCAGCCACGAGCTCCAAGCCCAGCAAGGAGAGCGGGCTGGGCGAGGGGCGGCTGGGAACAGGGCAACAGTGACAAATGAGTTTAATTCCTGGGCAGACACCGATGGGAGGAGGTGATTAATGAGCCCAGCACCTCATCGTGGCCTCAGGAACTCAGGGAGATATTTTGGTGGAGGGTGGAGCAGCAGAGACTGGAGGGTGGAGGCAGCAGGCTGGGAACTGAGAGCAGACAGGAGGTGACAACAGCTCACAAAGTCCCTCTTCCTCCTGCCCACACTGTGCCTCTGACCGTCTCCCAGGTCTGGGTCCTTCCCAGAGGTTCATGGGCAGATTAAAATCCTTCCATCATTTCTCCTGTCCCCTTCTCTCCCTCTTATCCCATCAAAGACAGAGGCTGGCGTGGCTGGTGCTCCAGGGATGCGTCACAGGGCTCCTTCCCCGAGCTGATGTGCCAGCACTGGCCTCTGGCCCTTCCCTCTCTGCCTCTGTGTGCAGAAGCCGTGCAGAACTGGTTAAACTGCGAGCTGGAGTCCTCTCCTGCATCCAGTGGGAAGGATCTGCGTTCCGAGGCAGAGATGCCAGGGGCAGGAGGAGCAGCCTGGCTGGAACCTCGGCTCCAGCCTTCCTCCCCTGCCCTGTCTGGAGCTGCTGGTGCCCCCTGCTCTCCCCCTGAGTGTTTCTGACTCCCAGCCCTGGTCTGGGTCCAGCTGGCTCCTCCAGCTGAGCTTGGAGCCGGCCCTGGGCTGCCGGGAGCAGCCCCCGGTGCATTGGGCACAGCAGCTGCTGGTGCTGATTAAAAAGGGAGACACCCAGCAATGATCAGGCTGTGACAGCCCCTGCTGCTGCTGGGGACAGGGCAGGGGCTGGCCAGCCCAGGGGTGGCTGGATCCCCAATTCCTCCCTGGATCCCACAGGGATACAGCAGAGATAAACACATATGTGCACATCCCACGGCAAGCGTGGCCACAGGGTGCGCGTTCCAAAGGGAACGGGCTCCAGAAGGGGATGTACAAACCCACAGGGGTCCAGCACCCCCGGGCTGTGCATGGCTGCTCCCGAGGATCCTGATGTGACACAGGGACAGGCAGGGACACACTAAAGACACGAGTGTCACCCTGTGTGTGCCTGGCTCTCAGCTCCTCCAGCCCTGCACTCGTGTCTCTGTCAGCTGGGACATGCCTGGATACATGTGCCACTTCCAACAGATCCCAGGGAAGCACATGGATACACCTGAAGACCCCAGAAGTCCCCAGGAAAGCACATGGATGCACCTGAAGACCCCAGAAGTCCCCAGGGAAGCACATGGATGCACCTGAAGACCCCAGAAGTCCCCAGGAAAGCACATGGATGCACCTGAAGTTCCCAAGGAAGCACCTGGACACACCTAAATTCTTCAGGGAATCACCTGGACACACCTGAAGTCCCCAGGGAAGCACACAGACACCTTGTGTCCCCACAGAGCTCTGAGCAGCCTCCCCACCCAGCCCAGCCTCCCCTCATTAATAACCACGGCTGAATTATTTATTGCAAGCAGATGTTAGTGTTTAAAGAGTGCTAAGAAGATATCCTTGGCTAATCAATTTATTTTTAACTAGTTTATGTGTTTATTACCACCAGAATTTGGACTTCAGCTGCAGTTTGAAATTATCCCTTGTCCATCACCTTGTGCTGCTTGGATTCCTGTGCTGTGTCCTTGGAGACCACGAGAGAGCCACAAATCTGCTGTTTCCTGGCCAGGGACTGGGCTTGCTTATCCTCTCCTTTGCATACACTGCATAAAATCCAGGCAGTGAGCTGGACCACGCCATGAGCTCCCCAAAAATGAGCTTTGCCTCCATGGGCAGCAGCCAGGCTGGGCTGGGAGAGTGGGGAATCTCCTGAGGGAGGGAGGGGATGGTGAGGACAGGTAGAAGGACTCCAGACCTCTTGGGAGGGAGATGGACTCTGGTTGTCTCTCTCCATTTCCCCCACTCCCCCCAGCCCACCAGGTAAGTCCTTTGCTTCTCTGGGAGCACCCTGGACACTCCCAACGCTCCCAGTTTCATGGAAACGTGGCCCATAAAATTCCCTGAAGGTAATGAATGAAACTGGAATGAAACTGGACACTCCCAATGCTCCCAGTTAAAACACTGCCCCTTGTCACCTCCCCAGCAGTGCCCCTTGTCACCTCCCCAGCAGTGCCCCTTGTCACCTCCCCAGCACTGCCCCTTGTCACCTCCCCAGCACTGCCCCTTGTCACCCAGCAGTGCCCCTTGTCACCTCCCCAGCACTGCCCCTTGTCACCTCCCCAGCACTGCCCCTTGTCACCACCCCAGCACTGCCCCTTGTCACCTCCCCAGCGGTGCCCCTTGTCACCTCCCCAGCGGTGCCCCTTGTCACCACCCCTGCACTGCCCCTTGTCACCTCCCCAGCACTGCCCCTTGTCACCTCCCCAGCACTGCCCCTTGTCACCCAGCACTGTCCCTTGTCACCTCCCCAGCACTGTCCCTTGTCACCGCTACATTTCGCGCATCATTTCCCCAGCCGCTGCTCCGGGGGTTTTGCTCTCTTGTTTGTGGTAAAGTCTCTTTTTGCGCTGATTTTTCTGTATTTATTCTCCTCCTGCTTCTCCGCTCTGTGGCTGGCGGTGCCCTAGTGGACCCTCTGCCAAAAAGCAGGTGTGGAACGAGGGCAGCGAGGTGTTCATCTCTTCTGGGATGATCCGACCTTCTGGCATTCCTCATAATCCCTGGCTCAGCCTGGCATTCCTCCTCCGGGCTCCTCTGCTCTCCCTCTGACCCCCCAGAATACCCAGGGTAAAACCCAGAACCTTTTCTGTCCTCTGCTCAGAGGGGAGGCAAAAACCCTTTTCAATCTGCACAGACCTCATGAAATTATCATAAATCATGATAAATCATAATGGCAAATCATCATAAATGTGAGGAGGAGCCATAAAAACTTGGTTAAGGCAGGAAAACCTCCCCAAGAGCTCCACAGACCCAGGGGGGCAGCAAGGCAGGGTTGGCACTCAGGGGGCACCCACAGATCCAGGGATGCTCCCCCGCAGAAGAAGAAATTCCTTCCCACAGAAAAACCCCACACCTTTACTCACCTGTCACTACTCCGGGCCTCGGGGGTACACCCAGGTGGTTGCAGGAGATTAATGACCTCGGCAAAATGTAATTACACCCCAGGCCTGTGCCGTTAATGACTGCGTATTCTCCCTGTCAATGCGCCTTAATTGAAAATGAGTAGGCGACTCGCTTGGCAGTGGAGTTGGCTGCAAAGCCTCGGTGCTGTATTAATTGTAGTAATTAGCAGTCACTTTAGGCTGGAGTCAGCTATAAATAGGGGGTCCGTTAGTTTAGCGGAGAGCGTGATTTAAAATGCAAATAAAATCAGGGTAAATCACTTTTCTCCCCCAGCCCCCCAAATCTTGCAGGGCTGTGATGTTGCTCTGGTGAGTTTGACTTCCAGAGGGAAGCGATCCCGTTGTTTGCCAGCTCGGGATGGTCTCAGCAGCCCGAGGACACCCTGGCACAGAGGTTTGTCCCCAGCAGTGATGATGTCCCCAGGGTGATGGGCATCCCCCACACTCCCCATCCCACACTCAGGAGTTGGGATGCGCTGGATAAACCCCAAAATCCACAGGGCACAGAGCAGACCAATAAGCCAAGTGCTCTGTCTCCATCCTGGAGCAGTGGGAATGCTGCAGGGACAATGTTTTTTGGGGGGAAAAATCCACCCCAGAACTGGGAGTATATTGGAATAGGGAATGAAGGTCTGGCTGGAGCAGGCACCGTGCCAGGGTGGGGTCCCACAGCCCCAGGCACGCTCTGGAGCTCTCAGCCCCTTCCTGACACGCTCCATTTATTTGATTATTACCAAAGGAAGGACAAGTGAGAGAGGAAGGAGGAATGATCTCTTCTTAATGCAGAATCGCTAAATTACAGCCTGGGGAAGCAGGGACAAAGTAACGCGCTAAAATAAAATCCTGGCTCTGGAAGATCCCCAAAGCAGAGCCGTTAAAAATTAAAAAACAAACACAAGAAATACCTTTTAACTGCTGAGCGGTCCTTGATTTAACAAGGACCATCCACCCCCCTGCCTGCTGCTGGGTCGTGGAGTTGTGGGGGAATTCCTGAGTGAGAAACAATGATTTTAGGGAATTAAAAAAAAAACAAAAACAAACAAATAAAAAAGAGTGGGGGAGGAATGAACAGGCCCGTGTTCCCAGAGTTTGAGAGGAGTTCCTGCTAGTTCTGGCTGCAGCTGGGAACACGTTCCCCCTGTGGCACGGGGGGCTCTGCGCCGTGACTCACCCACGTTATAAATCCATATTGTGATATTTGCTATCACAGGTATTAAGATGAATGCTATATGTTATATGCTTTTGCTATGTCATTTTCTTTTTTTCCTGCTAGCAAGTTAAGCATAGGTCAAGAAGAATTTTGGACATTAGGGCTAGGTCCTGTCTGTACAAAGCTGGAGAACCTCCAGGAAACAGATGATGAGGCCCAGGCTGCTATCAGCACTAACTGCCTGCAGAAAGAGGAGCCCCAGCCCAAATAAAAATACGATAAAGAGAAATAAAATCTTTAAGGCCCATGCTCTAAAAAGGTGGATTCAGGGCGTAGCCAGGCAAAATACTTCTTGGAAAAGTATGAATATGCATTAAAACCCTACAGCAGAATAGCATAAAGGGACCGTTCCAAAGATATCAGGTGTGTTCCTGGCACTGCTCCAGGGCACCCGGCCGTTTGAACCCTTTGCTTTATTATCCTTGTCTCCTAATTATCTTTTTGTTTATATTAAGCTTTTTATAATTTATTACTCGAGTGAACCTCATTTTTCACACCCACGAGGCCAGCCCAGGCCAAATGCCCTGCCCACGGGAGATGCCACCAGGCCTCTCTGTCACACTGAGCAGCACCAGGGGGTGGCTGAGGCCAGCAGGAGGCTGCTCAGGGATGGGGGACAGTGCCTTCTCCATGTACTCAAAGCCCGGGGACCTCACAGGCAAAGGGAGGAGCACCTTCCCTTCACCCCTCCAGGCTCTCCTTGCACCACTTCAAACCACAGGTGACCCCTCTGTGTGCCCAGGGTGTTGCCACCCACCTCTGCCTTCAAGGACACAAACCCTGCAGCTGCCAGAGCTTGGAAGACAGAGTTTATCAGGATTCTCACTAAATCCAGAGTAAAAAGCCACCCATGGAATTCCCTGTGCTTTGCTCACAGACCCAGAGCAGGGATTTGCCTCCCAGCACTTCCCTCCGCTTCCAGGAGCACCCACAGGCAAGGCCAGACCAAAACCGAGTATTTATATTTCCATCCCAGCTGGAATTACCCTGTGGTGAAGAGGTGGGAGGGCCCCAATCAGTAACGAGGGTTTTCTGCACAGAATTCCTCTCCAGACTTGGAAGAGGAGCTTCAAGTCCCATCAGAGACAGGAATGCTCAAAGCAGGCCATGGCTCTGCTGCAGCACGGGGCCTTCTCTGCAGGGATTAAAGGAGAACCTGGCATTTACACAGCTCAAAAGCCCCTCAGATTCAAGACTTTCAAGGGATGTGGCTTCCCCCAAGCCTCCTGGAGCTGTCCCCTCTCCAAGGGAGCCGTGGCTCTGTGAGATCCACGAGCTATGCTTTGAGAGCAGCCTCTCAACACCTCGCTTATCATGAGAGGGACAGGGGAATGAGGAAAAAATAAATGGAATAACATGAAAATAAATACAGAAGCAACTTTGGCATGGAAGGCAGAGCAGGCCTGATCTTTTGCTTGACTTGCTCTGGAAATTGCTTCTCCACTGCCCGTTTATGCACATTAATTGAACGTCTGGCCCGGCTGCGTGTCTGTTTAAGCCCTCAATCAATCCCCTCCTGGATGACTGTGAGATCAATAGGGTGGTAATTTAATAAAGGACATTTTCAGTTGGTTTTTAAAAGCCACGGATAGGATTTAATTCTTCCCTAATTTTTAAGAAGGGGCGGTGGGAGAAGGGAACAGTGGGAGAAGGGACCCAGGCTCTCACTTCCAGCAGCAGAATTCCAGATGAGAACTCCTCAGCTGTCCTGGCTGTTCCTCATCCTTCCTGAGACATGGCACATGTGACAAGCACACCAACCCTGCTGTGACCCTGCCACAGCCAGAGCTCATACAGGCTGTCAGAAATTTCTGGGGAGGAAGTTTTAGGATCAGCAACTTCCCAGGAGCAGCTGGAAAGCTCCCAGGAGCCCGGCTCCTCTCCCTCACCAAAACAGCAGGACTGGGCTCGCCAGCACTGCTGGGATCTGGGGCAGAACCCCCATCTGTGGATGCTAAATGCAAAAAGCAAGCAGGGAACAGAGCCTGTGTGAAACTAAGTCACACAAGCTTCTTCTGGCCTGAAAAAGCATAAGGAAGAATCCAAACAGACCTTGGAGAAAGACAACAATCTTTGTAGGTGCTGTTTAGGATCCTTGCTGTTTACTTGCAAGAAGCAGTCAAGGGGTGGTGTTCCACTTGACCAATGATAATGATGTGTAAATTTAATGCCCAATGAGAGTTTTAACTCTTGGACCTGTCTATAAAATAAATCTAGGATAATAAACCTTGCTCTCTTGTACAACCCACAAAAGAGTCAGTGTCGTACTGTTCCTAATACAGTGCAACACCCATCCATTCCCAAATTCCAGCGCTGCCCTGTGCTGGCACTGCAAGGATCAGCCCTCCAGCATGTCCTGAGATCCCAGGGCAAGGTGAGTGCTGGGAATGGCACATCCATCTCCCGTGGTGTTTTCCAGCTGGAGGGGTGGCCATGGCAGCTGCTGATGCCTCAGGTGCTCCATCTCTCGCTTTGTGCAGCAGGTCCACGCTGGATGTTTCATCACTGGCTGCAAAACCAGAGAAAAGCTCCTTTGGGTTCCTGGGGTGTGTGCAGCGGTGCTTTACCAGGCAGGAATTCCCAGCCTCCCCCAGCCCCTCTGACTCGTGCTGCTCTCAGTGCTGTTCCCAGCGCTGTTCCCGGTGCTCTCAGCCATGTGTCACCTCCTGCTCCAGCCCCGCTGTCCCTCCCCAGCCTCCACTCCAGCCTGCCCGTGTTTAATTTGCTGTAATCGCTCTTTTCTCAGCCATCCCCTCTAAAGCCTTCCTCTTCCCCCAGGCTGCAGCTCCCTCCCTTTGCTGCCTCTCCATTTCCTCGCTGTGATGCTTTGCCCAGAGTCCTCGGGATTCCAGAGGTTTAAGCAGGGAGGGGATCATGTCCCTGTGCTGTGCTCGGGACACAGGATTGGGATTTTGTCCCAGGGCTGCCTTTCCCTGCTAATTCACCCCACTCTGCCCACGCTGCTTCTGCCCAGCACCACCCCAACCATTCTCTCACGACTTTTAAATCATGTCCTCCTTAATCTGATTAATGTTCTCCCAGCTTCACACACCTCAGGTCTGTGCTCAGGGTAGAGAATCCCTGCCACCACAGCATCCCCAAAGCTGTCCCTGGGGAGAGGCTCTGGCCAGACACTCTCCCTGCACAGCAACCACACAGGACAGGAGCTGGAGGAGCCCAAACCTGTAAATAAAAGCCATGAATTAAACAAGGCTCCTGCTGTTTAAAAGGGTCAAAAGAATCCTCGGTCACTTAGAAATACCAGCTACTCCCACAGAAACGACGGGGGAGGAACAATAAGTGTTTGTCATCACTTGTTGTTTATTGAGAGGCATTTTGAAGGCCCAAACCTCACCCTGCTGTGAGCTGGAGGCTCCAACCCACGCTGAAAAACACCAACCTCCCCTGAAAAAAGGCAGGTGACAGTTGTCCCAGTTTTAAAGCCAGGCAGGAATTTTCCCAGAGAGAGGTTCATTTGGCATCCTTTGGCAGAGCCTCCAGCCTTCCCAGCCAGGCTGGAATAATGAGCCCCACGCAGCTCCAAGGACAACGGGGACCCTCCTTCATTTGGTACCTAATGAACCCAGCCACGGTTCCCAAATTCCAGGCACTGCTCTGAAACCTTTTCAACTCCCTAATTTTCCTTCAGCCCAACCTTGTGGCTCAGAGCAATGCAGGTGGAGCTGGGAAGGCCACGTCCACCCCCCTCTCAGCTCTCCAAAATCCAGTTGTTCATCCCCTTAGGAGTGTGGAACAAACACAGAGAGCGAGGGATGGGAGGTGCTTTCCTGCCCCACTGCTGTTGCTGCCAGTCACAGGCAGATATTTCATTTCCAGGCTGGTAATAGGTGGGAAAGGACCCAATTCAAGGCCCTGACAC